GAGACAAGAAATCGGGGGAAGAAATACCCACCTCCAGACTATTCCAAGTCTTATACCAATGTTCCGCGTCACCAGATACCACCTAAGAGTTACGTTGGCCGTCTTGTGTCGAAGCTAAAGGTAGAGTTGGGATTAAATTTAATGGAGCCATTGGAGAAAGTAGTCACTATTATTATTTACCTTCTTATTTTGGCTTTTGTGATTGGTGTTCCAGGATACTTTATCTACAAATTGATGTAGAGGTTATCACAGTCTAGTAGATAGGGTTAACTATTATTTCTCTAAGCTGTAGACTAGAAATAGTGTCTCGGTAATTATATTATCTCTTTACCTCTATTGGGAATACAGCTGCGTGACGTTTGTATTCTGTATATATATATCAGTGTTAAAATTTTAGTTCCATTTGTATTTTTATCTGATTTGTAGATTCTCAAGAAAATTGGACTAGGTGTCTTTACATTTCCTTGGTTGAGGGGAAAAAAGATGTGAGAGACAAAAGTAGTAGCAATAACAATCAAGTTCGTTAAAGTTTTCCCTGGTTATCAATTGAGTGGTTTATTCTTTTTTTTTTGAGGTTTGGTATTATAATTGTTTTTATTTTATTTTGTTTCCTCTTTTTTTTCCTTCGTTTTATGTGAACCTTTAGTGACTGTTTTTTACTCTCCTTTGACCATCTGATGATGATGATGTATCAGCCTATTAGTCGAAAAGAGTTAGAAAAATATTTGCCCAATTTCGATCCTTCCTGTGATCCCCAAGTGGGCGAATGGTTACTTGTTACTCCTCATCGTCGTGTGGCACTTGTGGATCCACTTATTCAGATCTCCCAAAAAGAAAAGATGCGACCTATTTATCCATGCAGTGAGGAAAGAGGTTTAACTGTTGTATCCCCCACAGAGACGTTACCAGACACAGAAGCATCGACGACCACACGTATAGATGATCCTTCTCGTGTATTCCCATCATTAGAAAAAGTGCGTCAGAAATACTGTCGTCATCGTCCTCATTGCATTTCTAAATATGAGAATATAAAAGATGATAATAACAATAAGAAGGATAAGGATGATGAGGGAAAGAATGAAATGAAAGGAAATGAAGATGATTATGAAGCTGATGACACCATACTTTATTTGAATCCAAGAGCACTACTTTTGACACCATGTGCACCAGCAGTGTTTGGTGGATCTGATTTTATTGAGGGATTAGAGACTGAAACCGGTCGTGTAGTTTTTGTAAACTGGCGAACAGGTGAAGTACGCACAGACACCGCAGCATTACAACCGAAACCAACTCCAGAGTGGGCTGAAGGTGTATTGGAGAAGGCCACAGTAGAGTTTGAGTCGTGGCTAAGGCGTGAGGTTAGTATGAATGAAAGAAAACCAGAAGGAAAGGAAGAGGACCGTGATGTACCACCGTTGCAAAAGATGCGGATTCATTGAGGATTTTATGTACGTGTTTTTTTTTATTGTTGTATTTTTTCTTTTCTATTTCTATACTGACGAAGAAGGGTGAAAGGAAATGGAATTGAGAAAACCAGATTTGTGGTGTCGAGTCGTTTTATTGGAGTCTCAGAAGAGGTGTAGAAAGTTTTCAAAACCGTGTCTACTGCTTTGCAATATGTTGCAGTGTAAAAAGCAGGGAAAACATATGCAGAAGAAAAGGAAACTATGATAAAAAGAGTTTTTATTTTATCACAGTTTCCTTGGTGATACACCGTTGCTCTTTCTTTTTATTATATTATTCTTTACTCCCCATTACTCTTGGTTTTTTTCTTTTTTCTTTTTTTTTTACCGTGCGAGGAGTAAAACACAATGGGGAAAAGAGGCATTTTTTTTTTTTTTTGACCTTTTTTTGGTGGGTCTTTTGGTACGAATAAAGGGAGTGTATACATCTTACTTGGTATTCTTATTTATCTGTTATTCTTCTCTTTGTTTCTTTTTTTTTTACTTGTTTCTTGATTGGAAAGGCTCGTGTTGAGGGGGTGGTGAAGTTGGGTGTCCGCACGACAGCTGTGTAAGTGTTGTTGTTGTTGTATCCGTATATATATATAAATATCTATACTCATAAAACACACCATAAAGAAAGAAAAAAAAAAAACCAAAAGAAAAGAAAATAGCAAAAAAAGGTGAGGAGAAAAATTATTCTTAAACACCATGCGGCGTGCATTCATTCCTCGAGCTCGTGCTCCAAAGGCTTTACAGAATTACACTCATTTGGATATCTTTACACAACTTCAGTTAGGGATTCACCCACCATTAAGTGCGCAACGTCAGTTTATTCAACAACATTTTGAAGAAGAGATGGAACGTCGTGGTATTACAGAGGCTAAATTATTAGCAATGGATGGTCGTCTCTGTACACGACTTCTTCGACAATTATTATTTGAACGATATCTTTCAGTTCCATTTCGTCTCTTTACATTTGATTTGGAGTTTACAGGACCACCTGTATTTGGACCAGATGGTCCTACAGAAGAAATTATGGAGTTTGGTTTTTATTCTCCTGCCCATGATAAGGTGTTTTCATGTTTGGTACGTCCTAGAAAAGGGCGACGTATCTCACCAGAGGTAACGACATTAACAAACATTACAGAAGAAATGTTACAACGGGATGGTTTACCCTTTCCAGAAGCGTGGAAAAAGGTGATGGATGTACTCTTAACTCCAGAACCAGAGGAACTGCCTGGTGCAGAGGAGAGACTTTTAGTATTAAGTCATGGTGGAAAACTAGCAGATGTTTCTTTAATAAAATGGACATTAGAAGCTCACGGTATGGAACTTCCACCATCGTTAGTATTTGGAGACAC